CACTCATAAAGTACAAAGCTTACCACATTCCTCACTCAAATAACAACAGGTTCACTAATGTACTTAATTCACAAGCTTAAGCACATCCTTAAGCATACATCACAAAGGTAACAAATTTCTTTATCCAATTCTCTTTCATTTGCAATTCATATACAAACATAAATATTCACATGCACTGAAACAAGTATCTTGAAGTGCTGCTTAAGTGGAATCTTAAGTAATCTGTGTGTATATGGCACATCATTATTGCATTGATATTAACATTGTAAAAAGGGTAAGAGGTACTCTTGGGTTATATCATTTAAATATTTATCAAGCCTTCCCTTTTAACTCCTTTAAATTCACTGCATCCACTAAATCTGAAGGCAACCCATTCTAAAGGTTAAACACCCTGTTAAAAAAGTAAAACTGAATTAGCTAGAGATGACTCCTACCCTACCAAAATTTGTTTGTGCCTCCTAATCTTATCATTCTTACCATTAAGTATGAAAAAAAGACAAGGTACTAACAATGTCAATTACCTTAAAAATCTTAAACACTTCAATGAGATCTCCTTTAACTCTCTTTTCTTTCTTTTTTTTCAAGAGAAAACAATTTTAGAGTTCTTAATTTTTCCTCATATGACAACCTTTCCATCCCAGTTATCATCTTAGTAACCCTCCTCTGAACTCTTTGTAACAATTCAATGTTCTTTCTAAGGTAAGGAACCCAAGACTGAACACAACACTCCAAGTGAATCCTAACTACTAAACTTGTGACCTAAATAATAAAAGTATAACCTTATTAGACTTATGTTTAATATTTCTGTAGATACAACCTAAAATCCTGTTTGCCCTACCACTGGCAACAACACACTGCTTGGATAGCTTAAAACAAAAATAAATAAGAAACTGATCAACCAGAACATCAAATTTATACTTATATATTAAATTATGTGATAGCCTACATGCATTACCTTGCATTTATAATAATTAAAAGCCATGTGCCATTTATTTTCCAAACTCACCATATAATCTAAATCCTTTTGTAAATCAGAAGCATCCCCCTCATATCAACATCCAACTTTAAATAAGTTTAATATCATCAACAAATCTAAGCACTTTATTGACCATTTCTTCATTTACGTCATTGATGTAAAATCAGTAAATCAAAAAGAGCAAAGATCCTAACACTGAGCCCGAGGTACCCCACTTGTGACATTAATCCATTTTGAATGAACTCCATTTATATAACAACCGTCTGCTGTTTTCAATTCAACCATTTTTTATCTAACGAGCTAACTTATACCCCACACCTATAGAATTTTTTTAAACAAGAACAAAAGTTATAACACTGATAGTGATAGTGCCGCGGTACATAATGATACCATTTTGTAATTGTGTTTGCATGAATGTATTTAAGTGTTATTATATGCATAAAACATGTTAAAGATAAAGCTTAAAGTAAAAATTATATGATAATGTGCGATAAACACAAAATGTAAAAATATATTTAGTTTTAAATAGTGATACAACTGGCCACGATCAATGTGCCTAACGCCTCAGTTATTCGCCATGGACATATTTGTCAATGCGATGCTCACTCACATTTTCAGTCTCGTTTTGGATCTAGTAGAACTCAATGCTTGTCGTTCTTTCATTAGTAAAATATGAAATTAATGTAGTTATGTTTACTACTTAAGCATAAGCTTTATTGAGACTGGTTTGTTAAATTATGGGCCTAGTCAGTACTCAGTCGAAATTTGTATTTGACAGGTCGAAATAACAGGCGCGCCACCTAATATTCAATGTATTGAACGTGCAATCTTTGGTTGTTTGGTCTTCAGACCCGGAAGCCAAGTTTTACGAAACGTACAAATGTTTATGCATATCTTAACACTAGTAATTGATGTTCAGGTATTTCCAGAGAAAAATCCAGCTCATTTCCCTCCATTTTTAATTTGTCATTTACTTTCAGATGCACTGTTATTTATCTTACCGGACACTTATGTCTTATTAGCATAGTTTGCTTGCTTCCTAAAACCTTCATTTTGCTTGTTCACAAATCATAACCAGTGGCGTAGATAGCGGGATGGGGGTGGGGGGTCACTTTTCAATCTGTTCCAGCAAATATGCATCAAAATTAGAAAATTACTCTCAGGAAAAGCAGTAGAATGCACAAAATGTAATCCAGAACCCAAGGGCCCTCAGAGCCTTAAGGCGAGCACTGGTTTGTTTGTTTTGAATTTCGCGCAAATCTACACGATGGCTATCTGCGCTAGTTGTCCCTAATTTAGCAGTGCAAGACTAGAGGGAAGCCAGCTAGCCATCACTACCCACCACCAACTTTTGGGCTAATCTTTTACTAACGAATAGTGGGATTGACCGTTAGGTTATAACGTCCCCACGGCTGAAAGGGCGAGCTTGTTTGGTGTGACGGGGATTCGAACCCGCGACCCGTAGATTGCGAGTCGAGTGCCCTAACCAGGTCGTGATGGGTACACCTGTTGCGCACATTCCCTTTTTTTCACTCGGTCAAATAAATCTTAGACCCCCCCCCCCAACACACACACATACACACACACTTTTAATTTGCCTTCTCTACCTCTGGTAACTTCACATATAAGTAGAAAAGTTAATGATACATGAAATGTCCGTTCGGCATGTGCTTATATGAAGCTTTAAATTTAAAAAGTATGCACTGTATTTCCTGAAAATATAAGTATAGTGTTTTGTGCGAAATATTACAATTTTTAAATATATTCAAACCACTTCACTTCATAAACAGGTTGAAGGGACATAGCATATTCAAGTGGAAATGGTAAGCAGAACAGTGTCTGAAGCATATTGTACATTATGAAAAGTCATCAGAGCATTTAGAACAACGTGGTTTTGTCTTAGAATATTCAAAACAACATTAAACCCAAATACAAGGCCACTATATAAAATAATATTTACTATAGCTCCGACTATTTTATTAATTTAACCTGTGTACTTCACATACCCCCAGTAGCTGAGCAGTAAATCTGAAGGTTTATAACGCTAAAGATTAGATTCCGACACTCGTGATGGGTATAGCACAGATAACACATTGTGTAGTTTTGTGCTTAACAACAAACAAACACAAAACTTCACAAAATAACTTTTCTTAAAATATTCAGTTACGTAACTTATTATTTCCCCGAAAGAGGACCGAAGACTACCTGGAGGGATCACCTATTTTAACCACTCGCACCACTTTACAGTAGTGTGTTGTTAGTCACATAAGGACGCTTAACGTTGCAATTTGTACGAGAAGAATTATGCACTCTGTAGACTACAACACAGCATGATATATGAACTTAAAAAGCAAGAAATAAAAATATTTTTTACTCTTAATTTTGGTTTTATTTAATCTTGAAAAAACACTTTCGGGGACCCTACGCAATTACATCTAGTATACATTTCTATCCGTAACTATGTCGCTTAGCAACCAGGGCCACGGACATGTTAAAATTGCGAGACAGTATGCATTTGAAATTACCTACACCAAAACAGAGATCTATAAATCGAATATACACACATATATATACACATAGGTTGGTCGATTATTTATCTAAAGGTTCAAAATTTGATACTGATAAGTGTCATAAAAATCTATTTAATTGAAAGTAGTAATTGTAATATTTGCATTTAGTGATATACCGAATAAAACCTAATATAAAGATAACAAGGAACGATTTGGTTCTACAAGGCTGTCCATGCACACCCACCCTTGAGGAAAGTCAATATTTAAATCACCCTTTATTTTTTCAAAATATCGTCAATTCTACTTTTTGAAACCAAGAAAGTGCTGGCATCCATACTGCAGAAGACAACTAATTCAATACGTCAATCATTTATCATTTTAGATGTGTTTGTTGTTAAATTTTTGCATACGGCTATTCGAGAGTTATCTGCAGTTGCCGGCCTTAACATTTAAGTGATAGACCAGAGGAAAGTAAGGCAGCTACTCAACACCATCCACTGGTAACTCTTGGGTTACTCTTTATCAACGAATAGTAGAATTGACCGTAACATAATAACGTACACCCCTACTGCTGAAAGAGCGAGCATGTTCTGTGATAGGTTTCGATCCACGGCCCGCAGATTGCGAGTTGAGCAACCTAAACAACAACCCATGCTAGGACGCACCCTGTCAGAAAAAAAATAAATTGTCTTGTCTGTATCTACCAAATCTTAAACTTTTGTCCTCTCATTCTTTTATCTTCAGAACACAGTTGTAAGAAATCACTCAAAGGCTCTTATACTATCTATCAATATTCAGCTAAACCTAGTAATCTTCAATAAAATCATCTCTTAACATTCTATTCTCAAGACAATATATGTTGAGATATCTTAATCAACCTATCTGTATAAGATAACCCTTCCATCCCCGAAATCAACCTATTAACATTCCACTGAACCCTTTCGAATAAGTCTATCCATTCTTAGATAAGGACACCAAAACAGTATATTCCAAGTGAGGCATAACTCTAATAGTTTTTATAGAGGTAATTTCCTCATTTGACTTGTAATCGATATGTCTGTAAATACACATTTTCTACTAACAACTGCATGCCTTTTTTCGCTTGTTTTGTTTTAGCTTTTTTTCTGTTGTGATTATTGGTTGTTAAGAATTTGGTGAAGTACTACAAATGCAATCTTTTAATGTATACCAAAGCAGAAACAAACCTTAACTTTTCTATGGGTTCTTCACGAGTAACACTTCAGTACTAAAAATAAGTTGATAAGGTCATGGCCATGCACTGCAACTATTTTCAAAGTACTTTTGGTTTATATTTAAGAATGTTCATGTTCAAGCATTTCCTATACTATATGTACATAGAAAGAGATAGGGAGAAATAGAGATGGATGCTGCATTCATTGTACGTATACAAAATTTATGCATCTTCTATCCACGTGAGCCCTTTGCACGTGTCATAACAGGTTCGTATATCAAGGAAACGAGGCTAAGCTGTAAACGACATGATATATGTTCACCTGTAGAAACATCACGTGCTCCCACGCAAACTTTACAATACGCCTCTCTACGTCCTCTATTATTCTGCTTTGTAGAAAAGCTGCTTCAAAGTGATACGGCATTCTTTCTTGTTTATGAGCACGATAAAGGATTCAAAATTCTTGTTTTAAACAAAGAAGTCAGAAGAAATAAGGCCAAACCAGTTTACAAGAAACTTGTTTTACCTCTCTTCACGCTTACAAACAACTTAAACGTGAATCTCCTTATTCCAAAATATAGGTCACAGTTGTATTAGTTTTTATTAATCGTCTACCAGAACATGGAATTTAATATATATAGCTTTAAAAACATGAGGGGAAGAAATTAAAATACAGTTTTGTATGTTGGTTATGAAAAATACTTGATTTGAAAATATTAAAACAATTACATATAAGAGTATACAATTTATCGAATGTTTTTATACGTTACTTTCAGGAAAAAGAGAAAAAGTAACTAATATTACAAAGTCGTCTCCATGATACTTATTCTTAACCATTACTGGGGCTGTTTCCGTATTAAAAAATTACCATATATATATGCATGCTGCTCAAAATGTTATCATTTCACAATAGACAGATGTTATTATAATTATGCTTGCCTAACATATATGGGCCCGGCATGGCCAGGTGGTTAGGGCGCTCGACTCACAATCTGAGGGTTGCGGGTTCGAATCCCCGTCCCACCAAACATGCTCGCTCTTTCAGCCGTGGGGGCGTCATAATGTGACGGTCAATCTCACTATTCGTTAGTAAAAGAGTAGCCCAAGAGTGGGCGGTGGGTGGTGATGCCTTCCCTCTAGTCTTACACTGCTAAATTAGGGACGGCTAGCGCAGATAGCCCTCGTGTAGCTTTGCGCGAAATTCAAAACAAACAAACAAACTAACTAACTAACATATATTTTTAATTACCAATATCATTAGTTGCGCCCATTTGATACGTCTCAATGATCCACCATGCCAGTAAGTTTACGCATCTAAAAACAGTGGGCTTTAGGTTTAAAATAAATTGATATTTAATTATCCCGGTCCGCCCCTATTTGTAGCCACTACCCCAGAGACCATTTCTTTAACCCCTGTCACGAATGGAGAAGTGTCCTTGATATCCCTTGATTTTTTTACATTCACACAGAGGTAGTAAAGAATTAAAGTTCTGGAAAAAAATAGAAATAAACTCATTCCTTCCCACTGTTTTTTAATACTAAGGATGATTAACTGCCAATTGTTTTACAGAGCGAAAATTTCGAAATATTCGCATACTGCACGACCTTATCGTTTCTTCCTATTTTGCCATCTAGCACACGCAGGTTTCGATAAATATTTCACAAAAATGGAAAGACGTGTTTTATAGTTCTTAAAATTCAATTTATTGTTATGAATATTCTTTCATCTTGGTATGTAAAGAAAATATAAAAAACATTTTTTTTTCAATGCAATGTACAATTTTTATCGCTTTTTTGTTGTTGTTATGCTTTGGGCTAAAATAACAGCCGTAAGCTTGTGTGGTGCATGTGTAATGACGATGAACCACTGAAATATTATCCCACTGTAAAAATGCATAACATAGTGAAACTCGACCTGTATAAATCAACTATGGGTCGCCTTACCTATTTCCGCAAGCTACCGATGAGAATGTAGCCTTTTTTTTTGTGAAGTTATCGCACAGGGAATGCGATAAAATCAGATCGTATTGACACCTATCATAAATATGGCGTTCGCATTAAAATCGTGTGAATACTGTTTTTTTTAAGGTGTTTTTGTTTTCTTTATGCATGGCAGTAGATCGGTGACTAATGATTAACCACAATTTATATCTGTTCAGAATGCTATTAATTGATATTATCAGACTTAAGCACGACTGATTAGATAAAATTGGTCTGAAATTATAAAAGGAGACTTAAAACTTGATAACAAGTGTTTCGTCATAAAAGTTTTGTAAATTAATGAAATGTAAAAATATTGAAAGGCAAATCTAAAATAGAATGAAACTTGACCAAAAGTATCATATATCCAAAGGATATAATTATTTTTCTTGGCTGAATTAATTCACATTAAATTTGTATTTCAATAATAATTGACTTAAGTACCATAAACTATGAATCAAATTTCTGTATTTCAAAAAAAAAAAAAAATCAATTGGTTTAATGTCATTTCTGGCTTATAAGGTTACTTTTGGTCAACATGAACACTATTAACGAACTCAACTTTTTAAAACACAATTCTCATTCTGTGATTATTTAAATACAAATTATTGATAAAAGAAAACCAATGATACCAGAACTTAAAAAGAATTAAGGTAGTCCGAGCGCGTGGAAACTAGGTGTTCTGAGGAGGCAGTAGCACCACCTGGCGTGACGTATGAGGGTATTGTGCATTTATTGGTGGTGTTAGAATAAAAGTGTACTTATAAATATTACTATCTTTGTGAATAGGGTTGTCACATGCCAGGTTTCTGACCAGTGTAAGTTATTACGAATGCATGACTCCTGTCATATTCAGGGCTTTCCATTTTGTTTTCAATGGTTATCAGCACCTCCACTAAAGAAATTGATCCAGCGTCAATGAAATATTCTACCAACAATACTTGTGCATCAATGGTAATGGCAATTAATATGGCAGACATTGTGTGATTGAAAGATAATTATATACTATTCTTCTTCTTCTCGAAAAAATCCTAAGGAACTGAATAAAGAACGTAGTGTTTAAAAAATACAATAAACCTAATACTATTGTGGAATTACGAATATAACTGATCACATTAAGAATTGTTAGTGATTCACAGAATGTAGTCTTTAAAGTGAATTAAGTGATAAAAACCTTACTAATGTAGATCCTAATTCTGCATTCTGTACTTTGAACATAAAAAGCCTAAAAACATGAAAGATGAAAGGAGATCGTTTGGTCAGTTGAAATGCGTAATGTAAATTTTATGAAAAATGTCTTTTATAACTTTAAATTAGAAGTCTGACTCAAAAATAACTTGTTTTTATTACCATTATAACAAACAGAATGGCCCCCCAGTGGCACAGCGGTATGTCTGCGGACTTACAACGCTAGAATCCGGGTTTCGATACCCGTGGTGGGCAGAGCACAGATAGCCCTTGTGTAGCTTTGTGCATAATTAAAAACAATCAATCAAATCAAACAGAATGATTTAATCACAGTTACTTTGACAGGTTGCATACTAACTACTATATTGAACGCATATAAATTTTCCATTTTATCACCATTAGCAGAAACTTAAGAACCTAACTAGCTAATAGCAAATAAATGAAAAAGAGTAATTTGTTTTAAGAGACTATGCAACTTTTTAAATATCTACACATAACATCTTCTATCAAAATGATACATAGAAACATTTTCAGCTTGACAAATCTATTGAACAGAAACTTGAAAGAACCTAAGTTATTAGAACAAAACAATTCATTACACAAATAGCGTTATAATAGAAATTATAGCTTGTCAATGTTCCTTCTAATATTCAATAGTTATAGCTGTATAATATAGGGTTCAACGGCTGAAAATCAGACATACTACTTTAACATGTTGAGATTATATCAAGGATTTACTTAATCACTACTTTAATAATGCAAGTAATATTTGAGGATGATTAAGAAGAAAGTATTTGATAGCCTATTTCGTGTTTGTTTTCTATCTATTTTCCCCCTGGTATCAGTATTTTCCCAAAAATCTATTCATATACATAAGGCATTCACATACACTAGAATAATAAAAATATCACACACACACTTCAGAAATATACATTTCTATTTTGATTTAAATTTAGCTGTAACAAAGTTCCCATCACCTCAAGCTTAACATGAATAAGCTCTTGTACAAGTGCAGCAATCTTTGATAAGGAGTGGCAAACCTTGGTGTCTAACAGTTTGATAATAATACTGCAGGATACCGCAGTTACAAAGCTTTAACATTATTTGGGCAAATTTAAAATTCGTTTAACTGAATTATAAAACATAAACGTATAAAATTGGTTTCAACTTACCAATAGCAATCGTACTGCTGAACTTCTTTTGAAAAGCAATACCCAGGTAGGAATTATTAACGTTAACCTGAAAACCAAATTTTCTACTCTTTACTTCTTAACTAATGTAATGATTCAAGGTTTATATTGCAGCTTTACAAATTTTCTGTAAACGTGTCTTACTTTTAGTTAATTACATAAAAGATGGGACAATTAACTAAATTATATCTTCTTTAACTTTTCGGTAAAATGACCAATTTTGGCAGGCTTCTAATGATAGCGCTATAGTCTGGTCTTGAGCTATTGAGTAATATACTATAGTATAAGTATATTAGATACAAGAGGCTCTTTTGCTTTTTACGACGCATGCGTAGTGCACATAACAAACACGGATAGTGTATTTCTAGATTTCGTGCTGCACGTGATACTTTTTATTTGTTGTTCTTAGACCTCTTAACATCACAGTCTCGTTTGACACGAAAACGTGATCAGTTAAAGAATGACAACGAAAAAGAAGTAGGTGCTATGTATGGTGGTTTTATATTCTTAACAAAAGATATACGTTACTTTAATGTTCATTGTAAAGAAAAGACTATCGAAACAGCTTTTATGTGATTTATACAAAATTATAATGTCAGTTTTAATTTATTGTTAATTATCATCTTGGTTCAGACAAATAAGTGATACTTTTTCATTCTTGAAAGCAGTTGTTACTCTAATGCTAAGAAACCAAGGGAGAAAACAAAAGAAAAAGAAAAGGTTATAATAAGTCCACTACATTACATCTACCATATCTAGTGCCGACAAGACCTCAGTCCCACGATCCGAGATACGACAAATACACTAGTGATTTACATGATATATACATATATATCTATATTCAGTGTTTATGAACAACAACTGTTATGGTGTGAACCAGATTAAGTAAGTAAACGGTAACTATTATCGGTTTTACGTAAGTTATTTACAAATCAGATATTTAGGGTAAGAATTAATAACTCAACATTATTTGCTTTGTATTGATGATAGTATTGACACTTAAAAAACAAACATTATAGTCTCATTATAGCACTGCTTTGGGTATTTGGGCCACAGCTTCGGGAGC